AAACATCATATGAAATATTTGTTTATGAACACATAAATAAATAGATCTTTCGCGGAAAAACATTGCACATCTTCATTTCTCCTATTATTACGCCAAGAAAAAAAAGGCGGAGTCATATCAGTAAACTTAACAAATTACCGATATATGGTACGCAGAAAAATCGCATCAAAAATCACGAGCCTCATTGAAGGATGGATCTAACTGTAGGTTACGTCTGCCCGCGCCTCGAAATTATGATTTTCATTTCCTTTTAATTCGTCTCAGCACGTTATCCGACGTATCGGCAAGATTTTGACTGCTCATGTCATTTATGAACGGGAAGTTTTTCCATCGATTTTCAGACGAGCTTCTCCTCTGTTCCTAGCGAGAACTGAAAGAAATCTGCCCATATGTCGGACACAGCATACGACACGACTATGAGTTTTCCAAACTCCCCATATTGATGTGTTCGCTGAGGTATGTAACAATCAAATTGACACTTTATTCGGATGGTACTGGCAGATTGCTTGTCTTTCTTTTCCTCACTCAAATCCTCGATGATCTGCCAATCTTTTCATTGTATTTGGGCCGAACTTTCAGGCTCGTTACCTTTAAACGTGCATCTTTTCTAAGATTTTTTCTTTTTGATTTTTGCTTACTACAAAAATTATTGCTAACCCTCAAGGGACGACGTGTACCAGCTGAGGTACACAATTGTTTGGAGGCCTTTCGCGCTGGACAAAACCTTTTGTGACAGAGTTTAATGTCGATTGCGACCACCCGGGCCAAACTGCTGGCGGCTTGTTTCTGACAGATACATGCCTTGCAGTGTACAAAGATTGGTGTCAAAAGAGGTGTTGGTGCTTGGCGCAAACGTTTTGTCATCAATCTATACCTCTGGGTAAATTATGACCTTACACCACCGGGTAAAGACGTTAATATCCAAGGGATGACGTGTACCAGGTGCGGTACACGATTGTTCAAAGCCTTTCTCGCTGGATTAAAGTTTTCTTCCAAACATTTGGTTGTCATTCAAAAGCTTGAATCTCTACGTTTCCAACGATTTGTTCAGTTTTAGAAAAAAAAATTTCTATTACGTTGCAGCAGTGTAAATGAAATTATGTTTTACCAAATTTCCTCATTTACTAGGCTGGAGCTTCGATATGGCTCTTCACTAAAATTTTATTAGACATCACATAGCCCAAATCTCGTGGATTTCGATGCCATAATTGGTTTTTTACAAGTTTATCACCGAACACTGTAAATGCGAAAAGAAGATCACATTTTACGCCTAAAATGTTACACCGCCGCTTGAACGACGTAGGTGGTTTCTTAGTAATTATAAGTGAAGTTTATATATCAGAATTATCTTACCGTTACGTAAAGGTTCACGTCGTTCGCAGAAAAGTAAACAAACTTGCAACCCCTACTGCGCATTTGTATCGCTTGTCCTACGAGAACGTGGCCAAAAAACACATCTTTTACAACTAAACTTTTCTAATGGATGTCTATGTGGAGGTAATTCTAATTTGTAGCTCGATTAAGTGTAAGAAAAGTGCGCGTTCATCAATGCATATGATACCGTACGTGCTCTTTTTCAATATTTCAACTGTTATTTGATAACTCAAATCTCGATGATTTGAAAAGTGTATTTTATTTTTGAAAGGTCTTCATATTTTGCTGTAACAGCGAAAAAGAAATGTCATTTGACACTTAAGCATCTTTCGATTAGCAAAGCATTTCTTAAGAAAGTTCAGCAATTCTTCGACAGGACAAGTCTCCGCAAATTTAGGAAAGTTTTTGGGTTTCCAAAAAATTTCTTCAATGCGTGCAACAAATCAATTAAGATTGCATTTCACATGTGGCGCGTATGTCTTCTACCGGTAAGTTCATGTATATTGCAACATTGACATCAAACCAGTGCCGTTCGATAACCAGTCGGTAGCTTTATCCCAAGAATGTCAATCGTGTGCTTGCCCTTGAAAAAAGTCATCTTGCGACCTGTAGGAACAAGAATAAAGCTGTGTTGCACATCTGAGTATTTCTCGCTAGACACGGCTTTTCCTCAGGCTTTCACACCCATTCGATAACTCAAAGTTTAAGAGATCGGGGATATGCCTATTTTTTGAAAAAGCTTCTTAATGCGTCGTTTCAGCTAAAAAAAATTTGGTATTTGCACTCGCTGCTCACACCGCACGCCACATGTAAACTGCGCTGCGCGATCAACACGGCGCCGAGTGTGAAGCTCAATAATCTTCCAGCTTTGATAACGCATCAAAATGTCCTTCCCAAAAACCAAGCTTATCATTGAGATCGTTGAGATTTGTGCCATCGAATGGTTCTTGAAAGTTTGAATGAAAACTTGTGCCCTGCGAAAGATGTTTGAGTGTGAAAAAATATTTCACTTCACCCCTACAGTATGGTGGAAAACCCTTTGAAAATTGAGACGCAACCTTCAAATTCTCGATTTTTAAGCTGTCGTTTTGAATATGGGCAAGTATAGGGGAAAAATAGTAACCCCGCTCTGAGACAAATATTTCTTACCAGTAGTTTGCGTAATGCCAATGTTCCAAGCTTTTTGTTCTATTCACAAATTGTTCAAATACCACGTTATTCTCTACTTCCAAAAACTAGTTCATCATCATTTTTTTTGATATTGTGGTACTGCTTTTTCGGGTTGTTACCACAAATTAGCTGATGGCGTTTATTACCAAGAAGACAGTGTTTTTGACATTATCCACACATGGAGATCTCTGAATAGAAGCGCAGAAGAGATTTCTAGAATGATTAACTCGTTTTATTATCGAAAAGCCGTTGTACATTTCAATCCAGTGTTCAAATGAATTCCACAACTATGGTAGGGTGACTATTCATAGAGAATGATTATAATGATTGAAAGAAGTTGAAGTTGAGCAAATCATACTATTTAGCTTCTCTCGAATCCATGAGAAAAAGTTTCAGAGGGATTCCCGTAAATGCTCAAACCAACCAGAGAGTTAAAAGTGTTTAAGGAAATAAGAAAGGAGGTAGTTCCAGATTGCAAAGAAATTGGAGCGTTTTTAAGCTCTTATTTCCAGTTTAACATTATTTTCTTCTGGGCCTTGAATCTTTCTGATAGCATGTCGCAACAAATGCGTGAGCATCATTTCATCGTTAAAATGAATTTGATGTGGAGTTCCATCTACATTGCTTTATTTCACTTTCCACAATGTATGTCTTTGGGACCGTCTCCTCGATCCTCCATCATTCACTGTGCATAGACGCACTGATGGAAAATTCCTGTCATACTTTCGTTTGGCGGATAGCATCATCTTCTTGAAAACACTAGTGGAGAAAAACGATGCCCAATGAACTCAACGAAGAGAGAAAAAAGATCAGGGTAGCACTGGTGTGGTAAAGGTTGGATTCACTGAAGAGGCAGATAGGTAATCTATGACAACGCGGCTTTTGTTCGAGTTATTATGTTAATTCTTGGAAAAAGAGGCAACTCCTACTTTTATCGTTCATTGAATGGGTACATGTTATTAAGTCCAACTGTTCTACTCTTCAAAAATCGTAATGCCATGTAGCAACCTACTAAAAACAATTTGAGTAAAAGACAAGTAGGTGCCACGGATGGAATATGGGAATTATAGAGAGCCGTGTTAGTACTCTATCTCTAATTTCGTTTATATCTCAATATTTTTCTCATTAACAACGGTTTCTGCGATAATCAAGCCTAGGAGCGGCAGTTTTTGTAAATTACTAAGCATGTAATGCACTTTCTGACATAAAGTACACAGCGTTTTTGAAAGCTACAGTAAGAAAATAATGAAGACTATGTGGCATAATAGACGGTCGAAAAGTAAGAGAATCACCTGAAATCCAACTCGCAGTTAACTTGGTCTGGAGGGCACTGATCGATTGCGTTGCGCAATTCGCAAGTGCCGCGCGATTTTCGTTACGTGATTGCAATATTCTTTCTATAGTTTGAGAGAAAAACTCTAGTTTTTTTTTTATGTTACTCTGATGTTCCTTGATTTACTTTCACCTCATATGCTTTGGTCCATATATATCCCTTAATATGGAGAAGACTTCAGAGAGGTAACGTGGTATTATTCTCACACTCAAAGCGCATTATGGAGATCTTTCTAGGATCCAAGTGTAGTTTCAGAATCAAGAGGATTTATACTGCCAAATGGTCGTTAAATTTCTAATGAGAGGCATCTACATATGATAGTCGAGCAAAAAATGTGCGCCATGTGTGAAACGTAATTTTATTTTCGCTGCTACAACGAAGTGAGGAAGTCTTTTTAGAGATCGCCTTGATCTGAGCTTCGGAATATTTACTAGAAAAGTGGGGAATAGCGCTGTCCAACAAAAAAGGCTTTTGAACAGTCGTACACTCAAGAGAGTAACAGTTTCAAACAGGTTAATGTTTTTCAATAAATTTTGAAATGCTTCTTCTGTATGGAAGTATTTTGAAATCCCTTTCAGAAGAGGAGCTTCAAGAAGCTGCTTAAGCTCTCCAAATTTCTTCCAACTCAAGTCCATTTGCTAACAGTGATCCACAAAGAAACCGTAGACCTCAGGAAGTAAGGGTTCTCCTTTGATGGTCTTATTTTTGCGTCACGTAAACGTCTTGCCGTTTAGAGCTATCTGCCAATCATCTTGCCCTCATATACTAAGAAATCGCGGTGTTTACGCGCGAATAGATTCCCAATCACTCTTCTGACACTAATTCTCCTTTTTGTTCTTACGTCTGGTGTAGTAACTTATTATGCTCAAAAATGAAATTCAATTCCATCATTTGTTCTATTATGCTTCAGACATGTGTCTTGGTATCAAAATGACCGATCATCGTTTTCCAAAGTCTTCAGCGGCGGACGAAACTCCAGAGGAAATAACGCAGAAGCGATAGATTTATAATTTGATGTATTTTTTTTCTATAACCAAACAAAAGTCGTTTTTAATTGACCGCTACTTGCGGTTTTATGACTTTTAGATATAACCAATAATGTAGAGGGCTGTGCAAAAACGTTTATGTCAGCCGGGATTCGAACCCAGATCTCACTCTTTTCGAGAGCGTACGCTAACCGTCACACCACCAACGCTCGTTTTGCACAGCACTTTTCCTACGCCACAACGCGTTATCTGTCAACAGCCAACCGTCTACGGTCTGGCGAGGCCATCACAGGTCGAGTAATATTACTGCAAATAGGGCTCCGATCGAGAACTTGCCGCCGAAACGTTAGCCATTGAATTTGAGGAAAAGGAAGTGCGAACCTCGTGCAAGCTTTGAATAAAGAAAAGAACAGTTCGTGAGAAGATTTTGAATCTCTTTAACCACGCCGACGTTTAGAAATAGTCGGACTTTTGAGCTATTAAAATGTTGTCTACCTTTTCCCAGATACAAATCATTACCTTCCACACTTCAATGAAATATTCTCACAACGTTTGCTTTCGTAAGTTGTACGTTTTCTGCTTCGAAAGACAGCTGCACTTTAGAAACTGTTTGCCGTAGATGGGTGACCACATTCGTGACTGTCCCAGGTTAGAATGCCGCTCATTGTACTCTAGGATTAGTACGTAACTGAGCTTATTTTGATAAATGAACTTTTTATGTGAACTATTTCTGGATGTGTGTCCTGCAATTTTACTCTGCAATCTACAACGCTTAGCTTTAACTTTATTTCATTCGAACCATAATCCCGCCTTTCAATGAAATGAAGATGAGCGGCGGAAAGTTGAAGCTACGCTTCTTCCGCTTGGTAATACTCTCTACCATTCCGTTGTATTCTCCTATACATTCGTGTATTGATGATATTTTACGGTTTTGGAAAGATAAACGATAATCCAAATACGAGAATTTCGATACAGAAGCCCGAATCAACTTAAACTACACAAACTCTCCACTAGCTCCCCTTTGGAACAAAATGTCCGGTCACAGACGTTTATTATCGAGCGATGATGAAGGCGAATTCAACGTCGACATAGAAATCAACTGCCATCACCCAAGCAGCTCCAGATGCGCTGCTCCTTATCGTGCATTTTCTGATGAAGCACAGAAGGTTGTTTCTCATCATATTATGAACGTTTAATCCTTTGATATGCTATTGAGTACTTCAGCCTACTGACATAAAAAAAACGATGAAGACAATACAAGACTCCACAAGTTTGGCTTGATGACAGAGCGCATGCAATGTTGGAACCTTGTGCAGGTGTTCATTCTGCACCAGAGACTGTCGCATCCAACAACTCTTTTGTACAGCTGCAATTATCCCCTCGATATTCACTTAGTGGCTTAACAGATCTTTGATGGCGTTCGTGACATCAGCACACTCATTACTGATGCAATACTCTGTAGCGGCCCAGTCAACATTTAAAACTATCTTCATCATCTAAGGATGGATCAACCCGACACTTAAGGCAGTACGGTAGATATGAATAAACCTAAGTACAAAAAAAACTAGTGGCAAATTAGTATAAATGAGACATCAATCACGAATCAACAAACTCACTTGCTTGTTTGACAGAGGCGCATATTTTCACAACATGTTATGAGGACAGAGAGAGAGAGAGAGGAAAGATAACGAATAGAATTGCGAATCGTAGTCTCAATACGTTTGTAACACTATATTTACAAGCGGAACCTCACGTGTTTGAAGATGAAGTTGAAGAAGGTTTCAAATTGACCTTTCGTTTTTTGAGCATGGCCTTTCTTGATGCGGGCAGCCGGCGGCCTCTGCCAACTCGCGGTACCGAAAAAGTGACACCAAGGTGATCTAATATATTCGCCAAAGCCTTTTTTGGGATACAACACACAGACGTGTCGCTTCTGGACATGCGTAGGTGTAGCTCGTCCTGAAAGAAAACTTATCCACCTCGCATATTTTGACTCGTAACATACTACATATCTTCCAAGACCGACTATCGATTAACGTCGGCATTTGTACCGTCTGTGCTGTACTTCAAAAAATTGTCATTTAACAACCTCGTGTTCGCTGAATGAGAAATACACGAAATGATTACATATCTATTATAGAGCTTTTGGAAAAACCGCCTTTTACACTTGATATTTCGGTTGCGAGAACTACAAATGTGGGAATACCAAATTCACTCAAAATATGTCGAATTAGTGGGCGAGAATTACATAAAATCAATGATGTGCTTGAACGAAGACCTAAAAACGTACTAAGAGAACAGGTTGCAAGGAAAGCAGGTGGTTGTACAGTTCGTCATTCTCAGGATCTCGCAACCAAGTGAGAAATGTTCGTGTCATGCCCTCCAAGTCCTGAAATGTATACATTTTCCCTTGTTAAAAGCCACACCAATGGTTCAATCGTCTGTTTTCAAACCTCGCTATAAACATTCAATATGGTCTATGATATCGCTTAGAAGGATGTCTACATGTTTACCAGCGATGATCTATCGAATAAAAAAAGTTGTGATAATTCAATATCTACATAGGCACCACAACTTCTTCCCATCCACACTATTACGTTCGAAAAAATAGTGCTCATGAGGTTTTTGGAGTGGATATTTCAAGAAACCGCTATTCTGACCAGATGCGTCACGATTGTTCAATGAAAACAAACACGAGATGATCACTTTCGCTGATTTGATAGCCAAACCGGCGGACATGTTCTTTATGGTGCTCTTCACTGAAAGGAGCCAGTTTTGATGTTTGATGTTGGAAGAAAATTTTTTGAACTTGAGCTTACCGAAAGGGACCTCAAATAGCGTAATAAGATAAGATTGATAGCACCCATCTAATTTACTCCAACCTACCGAAATGAGCGTTAAAGTTGCCAAAGAGGATAACGTAGAAGACAATCCCTTCTAATCGTACAGAACACGCCATTCTGCCTTTCTTTTATGGCTTGAGGAAAAGCATACAGGTGTAGATGCAGGCTATCAAAGGCAATACTGCTTTACATCTCTTCAGACTTGAGCATGTGCTCCGCTTGCTGGTTTTTTGAAGAAATCGATGGCCATAGTCAAATCATATTGACAGAGATTTTAACGCCAACTACTCTATGTCGCACATTCTAAGAGAGTTCCTATCAAATATCATTCAAGTGGGTAACACATCCTCGTATAAACCACTAACGTCGACTTCAAATTGATCTTTAATTGAACAGATAACCAACTAGATATGAACTGCTAACCAGACCCTTCTGTGAGTAAACATAATTGACCGGAAAAAAGACTTTGACATGGATTTAGTTTGGATGACCTGCCACTTCACGTGTTAGTGGAAATCGCTCTTTACAACTCTAAACTTCAAACTACTCTAGACTCTATTCTACATCTCAACCAACCTTCGGCAAAAGTTCTTCATCGATCATACTCTCTTCTTGGTGGCTCATCAATTGATTCGTTCAACGTCTTATCACCGAGATCAACGAAGTCTTCTGAAGTTGTGATTGGCTTCAAACACGAGTGAATTAACCTAATGAACGAAATAATTACGCCTATGGAGTCACTCTAATGAACCTACTCTCAAAACGTACAAGACTACATATTCAATCCAGGCTCTCAGAATATAGGTAGGTTTACCATCTATCCCATGATACTTTACAAAACGAAGAAATAAAAACAGCAGAGATTTATGGTAAGCGAAAGAAAATTCGAGTAACTCGGCTATATTCATAAAGGGGCGATCGATTTCTGAAGACACTCATAATCTCAGATCTCTCTTGAAAACTTTTGCACAAAATACCATCTTCATTCTCCTCCATAACTTCCACTTGGACATCCGTAGATGAAGCCGGCGGGAGATTAGCTAACCGCATTGCTTCAGGAAGTGTTCTAATAGCCTGCCCCCTCGCCACTGGCTTTGAGACTCCGCATTTTGGGAGCATGCTCAGCATCTTCATTAACGGCATCCACTATTAATGGTCGCAGAGTTGGTGTGGAGGGGTCGATTTCTAAAATTAGTTATCTATCGCTCTATTTCTATCAGACTGTAGTAGCATTAACAACTCATACCTGGATGTATTTCTGCGTAAATTTTTTTCAAAATGGCTATTGATCGCTTCCTTCCCATGGGTTTCAGTCCAAACTTTCTTAATTCATTCTGTAACACTTCTCATAAAAATGGGAGACAAATGCGAAGTACGGAATATCCATTATCATTTGCATCTACAAGAACTCCTTATCTTGTCGGCTTTAGAACAATATTATGAAGTGATAACTTTATATCGAATAAATTTCATGCGAAATCTTGAACCTCAGGCAAGTGAACCTGCCTTTGAACCTTACAGGGGTGCGTACTAACCACTAGAATACCAAGCATCTTGCTTTACTATCACCCCTCTGACGTTCAGAGTTTTACATAGCACTCTGTATTCGAGGATATATGGTTACGACATCATACATTGTTATAAAAGCTCTAAGATAAAGAATTCTGCATGATATGTATACAACAGCTGTCAACTTAGATTGATACTGTCTGCTTGTCCAACTAAAATCGGTTCTTTTTGGTCATTCGGGAACAAATTATAAAAGGACCTCTCTACCTGGACAAAGATTTCCATTGCGCTTCTAGTATTCATTCGAAGACTTTAATCTCTGCTAGTCTTTACTTGAACGTTTTTTGAAAAAGTTCATTTAAATTTCAGCAAAGAAAAACATCTATGCTCTACACGCTTTTTAGTGTTTTTTCGCGCCGGATAGAGCTCTTCATTCAGGCTATCAGTAACTATTCGACAGCGTAAGTCTCGAATAATTCCCACGCTGTTCTTGATTTCCAAACGGACCGTTTACTGTAGCGTAGCAGGGGAAAATAAGATTTAATCACTTACACGGACATTTGTTCTTCGGCTGAACTACAAGCTAGGGGGAGGGGGGCAGGGAAAGAGGGCTGCCATGGTTCCATCATGGCGATCGATTGATGGTGATTAGGCGGCTCATATGTGAAGTGCGATTTTTGTTATTCAATTAGAATTTTCTCCCCGCTTCGAGAGAAACTTCACACAAAACGTATGTTACTGATACTAAAAGATTTTCTCTACTAGTCATATGCTTCTCGAGCTTCCAGCAAAGTCATTGGGAAAACGCGCGGACGGTGTGAAACGTAGTTTACCTCGAATTTTATAGTGTTATGAAA